TTGCACTTCTCGTGCCGTAGCAAGATCGCAAGGAATCACAGTAGCTAAACCTGTGACATACTGGCCTCCGAAGTTCGGGAAGTTAATTGTGCAACTATGTGGTATGTCAGTAGATGTCGGCTTCAGTGACTCGGCAAATGGAAAGATGCTGGTTCGCAAAAAAGCCACACTACAAGAGTTAAATTTGAAATCTTTTAGTCGTACATAAGTAGGGAACATTCCTTTAAAATTAAAGCCTTCAGCTTATCTCGTTCCCGAATTGGCAGTTTTCCCACCAAAACTTTCACATATCCGTACGTGATAACCGGACGGTTTTAAGGAGCTGAATTTAAAATCTTTTGGTCATAAATGAGTAGGGAACAGTGTCCTAAAGTTTCAACTTTCTAGCTTTTCCCATTCCCGGGTTAGTAATTTTCGCGCCAAAGTTTCCACGTGCCCATACGTGGGCCCGGGCGCTTCTAAACATCTGATTTTGCTCACACATGGGTGGGGAACATTGTCATAAATTTTCAGCTTTCTAGCTTCTCCTGTTCCCGGGCTAGTAATTTTCACGCCAAAATTTTCACATACTCTTATGTGAGCTCCAGGCAGCTGACTTTGAAAACTTTTGGTCGTGCGTGAGTAGGGAACATTCTTCCAAAATTTCAACTTTCTAGCTTTTCTCATTCCCAAGTTGTGAATTTTCCCGCCATAATTTTCGCGTACCCGTGCGTAAATCCTGGGCAGTCCTGGGCAGCTGAATTTGAAATCTTTTTGTCATACACGAGTAGGAAACATTCCCCCGTGGTTTCAGCTTTCTAGCTTTTCTCCTCCCCGAGTTAGCAGTTTTTTCGCCAAGACTTTCGCATGCTCGCTCGCAAAACCCAGACGTGCGTGAGAGTTGATACCGCGGTCCTGAGGTAGCACTTGGCTGGGAAACGAGATTTCAGCTTCAAAGCTTGCGTGGTTGGCGGGTTGAAATACTTGGACAGACGAACACACACACACTGAAAGGGTCGTTGCAATATGTGTTTTTGCTGCCTGTTGCAGCGCTCTAGCGCTGCGCTGCAAAAACGCATAAAAAAACTATCAATCATTATTTGATCTATTATTGTGACACGGGAGTTGTCTGCATTTCTGCATTTGTGTATAAATAAAAACGCATAATGAGCATGGACGATGGGAAAAATTTCAACCAAAAGCCTGAGGATCGCAGAAATACAACTGGTTTCTTAGAAGTGGGCAGACCGGTTTGGTAGGCTGTCTGTAAAATTTTTATTCTGTCCTGTGCTAGTAAGCAGTTTATCAGTCAATCGGTGAGCGGCATAACTTCTCCGGGAGACTTTCTCCCGAGTAAATTAATTAGTCACTTCTTTTTTTGATAGCTGCAGTTTCTCTAGATTGTGCCATTTTCCGCGTTCCAAATGCTCCATCCAGCTGCTACTGTAGTGGAATTTTTTTTTTGCCAAAACCGGCATCCCCAGTACTGTGCTCTTTTTAAACAGTAAGGATCTAGTGTTTTTCAGTTCTTGAGTCTAATCATTCTCATATTTAATGTGCAGCTATGAAATTTCTCTCCTTTCTTATATAACACTCCAAAATTGTTGGGCAATTACTTAAACTCGGCTCGGCTCGGACGTTAC